TTTACAGCTGACGTTTTCTGAATCGAAAAATGTCTATTTATGGGAGTTTCTCCATTGCTTTAATTGTAAGCAAGAAATGCGCAAGTCGCAGAGAAACCAATAATGAAATTAAACAGTTTTAAGAAACAAAAGCATTGATATCTAATTCACTCTTGATCAGACAAAGCTTTTAAGGGTACCGTTGTAAATCGGGAGTTACAACCGGCTCACTTGAATTTACGTTTACAGCCCCTTTGAATTTTACGTAGAAGAAGACTTTAGTCGATTCAATCAAAACTTTTAGCCTCCGAGTTATTAATGGATGGTTTAGCATCAAGCAGATAAATTTAGATACAGATTAAATTAAATTGATCAAAATTAATTATTTCAATTGGGTTCATAATCAGAAGTACCTTGCATTTGTAATGCCTTTTTCTGTATCTGTATTTGTATCAGTATCTATATTTGTAACTTTATGTATTTGTATTTTGTATCAGTATCTATATTTGTGCGTATTTGTATTTGTATTTTGTATCAGTATCTGTAAGTATATTGTATCTGTATTTGTATCTGTAGTTGTAGTCTGTATCTGTATCTGTATCTGCACATTCAGTATGGTATATGAAATGTTTAATTGAATATAAATGATATTATTAGGTTTCTGAAACCTTGAATACGTCTGAAGGATCTGAAGTCTCCTTGATAATAATAAGATATATGTGAAGTCAATACTTTAATCATGAATTTATTTATTAATGACGTTTCCAATTCTCTTAATATTTCAATCTCAACAATGTTCGGGAGTTAATAAGTTCATTGAAACATTGACTTATTTTGGACATGTAGCAAATATAGAGGTCCATAGTAAATTACGTTGTATATTTTTCATATAGCTAAATGTGCCTATAAGAAAATACGTAAATCATGTATTGCGATTAAACCATTCAATGTACGTAGATATATATATTATATATATCTGTCATACCCATATTGTGATTGCTTATCTACGTTATATATAACAGCGCATAATTTGTAATTACGCTGTTAAAGACCCAATTTTAATCTAAACTGAAGAAATATACCTTAGTTGATACAGAATCTCCGCTTTGATTACAGTGTTGAGAGTAATTTAGTTTTCGTTTTCGACATAGCTATAAGATCGTTGCCTTGAATTCTGCCTTGATCTACAGACGAACCGCAAAAGTTTTGTATAATGTATAATTCCAAAGAAACTTCTTTTTATTTTTAATTCTAGGCAAATTAATAGCCCTGAAATGTGAATGCAATTGATGTATTAATATTAAACTCATTTTTCCGCGGCATTTGATCTCAAATATTTAATACAACATTATTAAAAGCTCTTGCTATGTATTCATATATTTGGGATTCGTTGTAGCAAACAAGATTTTTGATCTATTTCATCCATTGGTTTATAGATTAATAGATTCATTGGTTCATTGATTGATTGATTAATGGATTGTTTGCCTGATTGATTGGTTCATATCGATTGATTTATATAATAATTAATCAATTGATTCATTGATTCATTTATTCATTGATTCATCGATTCATTGATTCATTGATTCATTGATTCATTGATTCATTGATTCATTGATTCATTGATTCATTGATTCATTGATTCATTGATTCATTAATTTATTGATTCATTGATTCATTGATTCATTGTTTTATTGATTCATTGATTCATTGATTCATTGATTCATTGATTCATTTATTCATTGATTTATTGATTTATTGATTCATTAATTCATTGGTTCATTAATTCATTGATTCATTGATTCATTGATTCATTGATTCATTGACATTGATTCATTGAATCATTGATTAATTGATTCATTGATTCATTGATTCATTGATTCATTGATTTATTGATTCATTGATTCATTGATTCATTGATTCATTGATTCATTGATTCATTGATTCATTTATTCATTAATTCATTGATTCATTGATTCATTAATTCATTGATTCATTGATTCATTAATTCATTGATTCATTAATTCATTGATTTATTGATTTGATTGATAAATATGTTTTATATATTTTAAATTAACGTGTAGGCCAGCATTTTTGTAGGTTTGGTTATCGGGCACGGTTTTGATTAAATCTTGAATATTTGGATATTATGTATAAATATGTATAAATAATATCCATTATTAATTCAAATTGGCCACGCTGTACGCACAATTCAGGAATTAGAATATTTTTTACAGGTGTGACGCATTTTATAAATACCATGAACGAGGAATTATCTGCATTTTATTTAAGTTTTGATTTTGTGTTTTATGCGTAAATGGTGCGTCAGACTCAGTTTAAATAATTCCTAGCTGGATTAATGGAAGAAATAAGGAAGATATATCATTTACAACCCACGCAAAGTAAATTTCTTGTACAATTGAATTTTACATGTTTACAATTAGAACTCCGTTTTTGAAAGGGTTATTGAAAAGAACAAAAAGTTTTGAACATTAAGCATATACCCGAATAAACTTATTTTACTTAAACTCTTGAGAAAAATTATAACCAGGGGAGCTGCGATGTCAAATAGTCATAAAATCATACGAATAATGTTGCATAAATTTGACTTTCTGTGTAGTTAAGTGTACACTTTGGACTAACTAGGGCAAGATTTTGGTTTCTTATATTCGAATTCAATCGCATTTTGGTCTGTAATTCAACAATCTTTAAACTTACTAAATATTTTTGGGAGTGTTCGCGAAAAATAAAAGGGGATATATATATAGGCTTACCACAAAAAATAAGCGCTTTTGATTGCAACTAATCTTACTGCTATCTGTTGCGTCTATAAGGATATGATTGTTAAAAACGACTCATACGACGCATTCGTATATAGATATAGTTAATATTTCATAATATTGTTTATTTATTATGATCTGAGAGAGGATTTTGATAATGAAGACGACATTTTCATATTTTCCAGGAATGTTCGAAAATCCAGCGTCAGCGAAATACTATTTAAAAAAATAAAATCAAAAATGTCCCTTCTAAACCTCTTTACAGCTTACTTGTAAACCATATTTTCAGTTTAAAGTACAGCATTTTTTTCTTGAACGCCCTGTACTATCATCATCAAGTGCAATATTAAACCATGTATAGTTTTAATCACCCTGTCCAGTGTGCGTGTTAAGCGCGTATTTATGTCTGCAAAGCGCACACATTGTCATTTATCTGCAATTTATCTTGATTTTTATATATTTGTTTATTTATTTACTCACGCAATATATAAGTGCTTTTACAGAAAATAGTTTTGACCTTTTACAATCATAAACCCAACACCAGTTGTATATCTGTGTATGCTGTACTATAAATCATTTAAAGCATTAAAAATAGCAGAACATACAGGGTAAGCCACAAAAGATGAGAATGTAAAGACGACCTTAAACTCTGTAAGTATGACGATCCAAAAAAGAAATAAGTTTACAGATGCTACATATTGTCATTAGATTATATACCTACGTAATATTGTGAATACATATTGGAACTTAACATGTAACATATAGATTTGGAAATAGAGATCATTTTAAATCAGAACTCCGCTTTGATTACAGTGTAGACTGTAGTAATTGTACCCTGTGAGTATTCGGGTTCAGATCATACCTCTTTTCTTTAACAGAACTAACAAATTTTAATTTGAAATAATTCAAAAGAAGTTAAGTACTTACGTGTACTAACTCACTCAACTTTTAAACTTAAGAGATCGCAAAATACAATTGTCACTTTTTTGAGAATCAAATTAGATAATTTTTGTAATACTTCTAATATAAATCTATAGTGATTGTTATACTCCCTTTCTTTCACCCTAAAGTTAGAAATTTTGTTTTGTAAATCTTTTGTGTTGACCCGCGGATTTATTTAATTTCTCTATCATATTGATCATACCCTTCAGGGATAACTTTAGTTGAGGGATCAAGCAATTATCATCTAATTTAGAAATGGTCAAATTGGATATCGAGATCAAGCGTTCAAGATTGACGATAATCTAGACAACAGTTTCGATATTTGGTCATTTAATTCTTGAATAAATGAATAAAATGTTAAGTTTTTGTAAAACCAGAGAGAATATTTTGCCATTTTCTTGAAATACATTGTCATGCAGTTTTTCAATAGCTTCAGGTATTTGCAGCCAATTATCAGTTAATCATTCATAATATAATAACTTAATTATCTACCAGACCAGTATATTTAACGTTTTTTATATCTTTTGGCAATACACAATTTGGTTTTTCATGGGTTCCTTCATTTGATGATAATGTGATGATAATGATGATGATGATGATGATGATGATGATGATGATGATGATGATGATGATGATGATGATGATAATGATGATGATAATAATGATGATGATGATTATGATGATGATGATGATGATGATGATGATAATGATAATGATGATGATTATAGTGATGATGATGATGATGATGATGATAATGATGATAATGATGATGAACATATTGATGAGCATTTTGATGAAATTTGATGATCAAAGGAAAAATATTCTTATATTGAAATTGAAAATTTGAAAGACGAAAAACAATTTTTAAATATAGAAAAATATAAGGCAGTGTAAAAAAAGGAACCAACCCGGAAAATAATAAATAATAATTTTGGTTTCTTAACTGAATTATTTTTACCAACATTGGAATCTGAATTTTTAAAATAATATTTGTGGTTTCAGCTTTAACTAATTTACACTTTACAAGGGGCGTCCCAAAAAAATGTTTATCTTACAACATTTTCTAAAAGAAGGGGAAAGGGGGGGAGGGGCATATTCAGGATTATAGAAATCTTACTGTAGTGAGTTTTTTATGGACACTCTGTAGCATCTTTAGAAACCGGAAATTGAAACAGGAAATGCCGGAAACTAAACCGGAAGTGGGAAGTCTCAACAAATAATTTCCTTTTGGTGAATGAAAACCAATCTTTTCGTCGGTAGAATCAATCTTCTTAAACCTGTCAGATATTGCCTAATTTAAAATTAACCTTAAACTTCTTTTATTTAAAAGTATTTTTAACACAATGTTTCAAATCACCAAATTCAGGTAGTTTAACTACATTTGATCTTAAGACTGACTTGGTTCATTTTCTCCGTTGACAATTCATAGTTTTTTATCCATTCTTTTCTACTCCCAAGCTCACTGAGCCTTCGACCAGGCCCGGTCTGGCTGTGCGGGTTTATCCAGGAACACCCTGTAGGTATTTTCACAAGGTCTTTATGCTTGTTCCACCCTGTATCCGTGTTCGTGGTGGAAGTTAGGTTTGCATCTTTAGCAGGATATTTAGTGGTGAACACTGCAACAAAAACTAATATTAATTATTTGTTAAAACGTAATTGTGAACTCTCTTTAACACAGGGGTTTTTAAAGAGAGGTTTCTAAGTTCTTAAATCCGATCAAAATCAGATATTTTTGTTGAATAAAATAAAATAAAAAAGTTGCAATTATTACAAGAAATAGGGCCGTCTGTAAACCCCTTTTTATACTTTCACCCCATAAGATACTTAATTATTCAAAGACATATGAATATTTACAATAAATTATTATAAGTAAATACTACATTTGTAAAGATGAATTATGATAAAATCTTGAATTGTTTAAGGATTAAATAGATTTTTTTTACTTCGGCTAGGTTAAAATATTTGTTAATATATTCTTCATATTCGTTAAAAGAAAATCAGTATACAACTCATGCAAATTCCCACATCAAATTTACGGATAACATTTAAAGATAAAAACTAAACTCTTTTTAATTTTCCTGGTTAATGGTAAGAATCTTAAAGAATAAAATCAGATCTTTAATTTTTTGAATAAGACTGATTTTATTTAAAAGTAATTTTAAGCATTCAAGAAGTTTTAAGGACAGACAAAAAAATATAATTCGGGATGTGGTCACTTTAATTTACGCTGACAGCTTAAATTGATTTTTTTGTTTTCAGGTTTTTAACTTTTAAAATTTCTTCAGAACGTTTGTCTTACTTTGTAAGGGAAACGATTTTCAGAACAGGTTTATCTAATTCCTCCGTTTCAAAAGTTTCCAGCTGATTAAAAATTACTAACCTGTTAGAACAGGTTTATCTTATTCCTCAGTTTCAAAAGTTTCCAGCTGATTAAAAATTACTAACCTGCTTAGAACAGGTTTATCGAATTCCTCAGTTTCAAAAGTTTCCAGCTGATTAAAAATTACTAACCTGTTTAGAACAAGTTTATCCAATTCCTCCGTTTCAAAAGTTTCCAGCTGATAAAAAATTACTAACCTGTTTAGAACAGGTTTATCTAATTCCTCCGTTTCAAAAGTTTCCAGCTGATTAAAAATTACTAGCCTGTTTAGAACAGGTTTATCTAATTCCTCAGTTTCAAAAGTTTCCAGCTGATTAAAAATTACTAACCTGCTTAGAACAGGTTTATCTAATTCCTCAGTTTCAAAAGTTTCCAGCTGATTAAAAATTACTAACCTGTTTTGCCAGCACTTGATGAATGTCTTTGAATCGCTTTTCTTACAATTCTAAAATAAAACAAAATTTAAAGTATTGAAAATCTAATTGTAAGGGAGTACATTGTTTGTTGAAATAAATCATTTTAGGACAAGACATAAGTCAAGAAACCTAACATAAATACCCTGAAAGAATGATATTTGTTCAATAGGTTTACAAAAACTGTTTACTCCTTTTAAATTTAAACTTTGTAATCCCCAACAATATCTTTCAACTATGATTATTTGATGAAGACAATTTCTGCCTTGAAATATTAAATTAAATGTGAAATTTAGTTTTAATTAACATCATGAAAAATTTAAGTTTTTGAAAGATTTTACTATTTTTCTCAAAATTAATCTAAGAATTCTGAATCCCCTTGCATAAATCTGAATATATTGAAAACTAAGAATGATTAATTATATTTTTATGAATAGGATGGTCTATATACACTATAGTCTATATAACCTATATATTATATGTAAATACATTATGTATGCTAAGCTTTTAGAGCGCTTTGCGCCCATCTTCTATTTCAACTTTTAATTATGGCTTTATCTGTGAGGAACTTCGCTTTGTACTGTATAAAACAAGAACAAACACAAGTTTGCGGATTTCATATATTTTTTTCACGCATTTTCAAAATTAAAAAAATCTAAACACAAATTTTTGAAATTTGGGCCCGATCGGTTCAGCTGTTTTACGTTTATTGGATACAAACAAACAGACAGACACCCAAACAGACAAGCAAACTATACATATAGACATAAATTTTATATATAATATATAGCTAGTTCACATTCCATATTCACATATTCAAACTAATTCATGTCCTAGATCCATTGTTAGTCCATTTAGTAAACAATACAGATAGATAGATAGATAGATAGGTAGATAAATATAAAGATAGATGGATACAAGAAATATAAAGTATATAGATAGATAGATAGATAGATGGATATATAGATGGAAAGATATAAAGATAGATAGATAGATAGATCGAATAGATAGATAGATCGAATAGATAGATATAAAGATAAATATTGATAGATAGATAGATAGATAGGTAGATATATTTAGGGTTAACATTTTTGTTGTCAAATTCATTAAAAATAATATTTTTAATATTTTGTTCAATTTTTAACCTATTTATCCTGACGTGTAGTTTCATGACTGGTTGCCCCCCCCTCTATTTTCGTATTGTGATACAAACGTATAACATATACAAACGTATGGAAAGTCCTTGTGCTTTACTTCAATAATGTACAAAAATAATGTCAAAGAAATTGACTCTTGTCACAGACTCTGATTTTCTAATACCTATATCTTTGCAATCCAATTTCGTAGACGTTAGATATTTCAAACTATGAATTCTGTTAGATCAAATAGCCTAAGATTGAAATATCAAGGGTTTCCATCATTAGGTTGCCAAGATATAAGGATGAGAAAATTTCAGTTTGTGGCAAAAACTCAATTCCTTTGGGAAATCTAGTTATAAAGGTAAAATAAGGCATTTAGGCAGTACGCCTGAGGACTCAGGCAGTAGGTATAAAGCCCAGCTTTTAGCCTTAAGAGTAAGGGGCATATGTTAATTAGAAAAGCCAGAAAATTTGAGCTTCCTTTAACCCCCAGGATAAATAGGGTAAATGAGATTCTAAACAACATTTTGTTTATATAAGTTTGGCATTATACATCCTCGAAGACGAAGTATAAAATAATTAATTCTGTGAAAAATAGCGGAAATAGAAGATACGTAATGCTATTATGTTACACATGTATTATAAGCATTATAAGAACATGGATACATCAGTACTTCGGAAATGATAGATAGATAGATACAGGGTGAAATAGATGTGATGTTTCACTCACTTCGGCTCAATATTTTTAGATATATTTGTTGAGGTATATCTGATATCTACATATATATATATATAAATCTTTTATCTAACGAGATATTTTTTCTAAAATGTGAGACATATCTGATATCTACAAATATATAAATCTTTTATCTAACGAGATATTTCATCTAAATGTGAGACATATCTGATATCTACAAATATATAAATCTTTTATCTAACGAGATATTTCATCTAAATGTGAGACATATCTGATATCTACAAATATATAAATCTTTTATCTAACGAGATATTTCATCTAAATGTGAGACATATCTGATATCTACAAATATATAAATCTTTTATCTAACGAGATATTTCATCTAAATGTGAGACATATCTGATATCTACAAATATATAAATCTTTTATCTAACGAGATATTTCATCTAAATGTGAGAAATATATCTAATATCTACATATATATAAATCTAATATCTAATGAGATATAATAGCGTTAAATTGGATCTATTTCCTATCAAGAAGGATTTAGCATTTTATCTCATTACAAGGTTAATAGGTCCAGGAAATGGGGGGGGGGGGGAGGGCTCGAATATAAATGTCGGTTTACACATTCAATTATACAAATGATATATTTAATTGATAAACCTTGCTGTAAACCTAAACTAAAATTATATACCCTTGGTATATATATATATGTATATGCCTGGGTACTTGTATATATGGCTTGTATATACTTATTACACTCAGATCTAGATGAAGAAAATATCAGAAATATGCGGAAATACTGTTACAACTCTGTGACCTCGTGGGTTTTATAGTTATGTTCACATTAATTATGAGAATATTGGGTTGCATATTTTAATTATTCAAACTTATTTTCCCCACAATATGTCCTCGGAAAAATAAGCTATGATAAAAAACATTTTTATTTTAGATTCTAATCTTATCTAATTTTAGTCAAAGGATTAAAGGGGGGGGGAACTTGAAATTTCCCGCGTACAGTCACTTTTGAATTTAATGAAAGGACCGAAGGAAGGTTGGACATAATTTTCTAAACAATATTCTATACCTTACTGTATTTGTGAAAGTAGGTTGGTACCTGGATATGAGAGAGGGATTTGGTTGCCTCCGATATTGATTCCAGAACTCCTCCGACCCCTGCCCTGACTCCTGGGAGGAGGAGGAGGAGAAGGAGGAAACAGATGAAGAACGAATCCTAAAAAATTGTCGATAAGAGATTGTAGAAACAGATTAAGTTAGTTCCTTCTGGATATCTCTAAAAGTCGGTGAGACATCGCTAAAAAATATTTTTTCTAAAAATAAGCACTTAATTACTTGTTATAACTCTCTTTGCACAGATTGTTGGATCAAGAAAATTCAATATCATTGTTTAAAATGTTGAACACGTTGATTATTTTAAATTGTCAGAACATGGAAAAACTACAAATTCTTCCACGTTTCTGATCAGATAAATGTCTTTGCAATGGTGCCGATGTGAATCGGACTTGTTGTTATCTTTGCATGGGGGGTCGCTTGAAATTAGGCTTACAGTCCCTTAGACTATATTTTACCCAAATCCTGTACCTGAATGAGAAGTTTGACAGTTTTCTCCGACTTCTTCCTTCTGGAAAAGGTCTGGATTGAGAGAATGAACAACTGCGTTGTCTGGCTGAATTACCATTGTCTTTTGTGTCAGTAGTGTCTGGGTTGGAAACTTTTACAGAAGTATCAGCAATGTCTTCATTGTTAGCTTCTTTATGCACGCTAGAACTGTCTCGATCTAAGGTATTAATACCATTGTTTAAACTGACCCTGTCTCTGATGTCAAAACTTCCATCAAATTTGTCTTTTTCGGAGGAAACATCTTTATCCTTAGAACTACCTCTGTCGAGGGTACTGACAGTGCCAGAAGAACTGCTGCCTTCAGTGATGACAAGTTCTTCTGTGGCAGCGTCTCTCCTAGAAGAGCTTCCTCTGTCTAGTGTGCAGATTTTGCGCATAGAACAATCATCTTCAGATATGACAATGCTGGTAGATAAATTGACTGTTTCTGAGGTAACCTTTTTGTTGGAACTAGTTCTGTCTAAAGTACGGTAACCACCAGTAGAACTGACAATGTCTTTGCTTACAGTAATCATATCAGAACTAGTATCCTTTCCATCGTTTCTCTCTGTGTAACCAATACCATCATATCTGCTTAATTTATCGTTAATTTCAAATGATCTGTTGAGCCTTGAGCTTGTGAAACCTGAAGATCCAGATGATCCAGAAGAGTGGTCTGAGGATACTCCTGAAGAGGATGCTGGGGAGGATAGTGATGCTTTTAGTGACAAGGAGACTGAAAGAGGTTTTGCTTGGGATAAAGACAGAAGACTAGATTGAGTTGAGGGATGAGATTCAGTAGACGAAGATGATATAGATGACCGGACTGGGGATGATGAAGATGAGAACGGATCTGAAGATCTGAAGGAAAATCTGAAATGATTTAATCTATATAAAGTAGTAATCTATGTTTGTCTGTCTATTTGTTTCTATTGATGTCTGTCCATAACTCATGAACCCCTAGGCCGTTTTGTCTCAAATTTTGTTCAGGGGAACTCGGTAGAACTACACGAATGTTCTAAGCCTGGGGGAATAATCTAACTTGAGTAGCAATTTGACTTTTATAGGGAAAACTCCTTAAAAAGCTGGGGTTCCAGGCTGTGTTAAATAATTCAAATAAAATTTAGGATTTTTATAGATCTATCAAATTGGTGGGATTTGGGATTTGAAAAAAACATTGAACAAGATACCTGCTGACAGAAGGACCCGAAAATCCATAGTTTCCATTTCTTCTCATCTAAATGTATAATGATAAATTTAAAGATTTTAGAAACTTTTACTTTTCAAATTCGTTAAAGATAATGCAAGTCTGCAAGTCTGAAGTTAAGATGTGTTTAAGCGATTGGTATATTCTATATTGACATCTTATTCCATCTTGTGCAAACTTTAAAAGTTGCACAATTTAAAATAACTTTAAAAAAATCAAACGAGTTTCTGTTCTTAGAAAAAATCAATAAGAAATTTTTTTATAATTTTCCATACTAATAGTGACAGGGAACAAAAAAGCACCGAATTATATATATATTTTTCTGTTTAAAATTTAAAATTAAAAAAAAAGATTGGCTTTTAGATCAAATGTAAGCTTAAGAAACTGGAATCATTAAGAAATACTTGATTGTATATAAATGTATATATATGGTCTGTTTTTTTGTAATCAAAAGATTAAATCTTCTTAATTAATTTCTTGTCATTGATTCAGCCATGCAATAATATATGTTATAATTCTAAGTCTTAACATCTGCTCTTCGTTGGTTGACTACTTCATTTGTCTTATTTGTCTTTGTTAAATTATGTATAGAAGAAAGAGAAAATATAAGATGAGACTTTAGTGAACATTCAATATCTATTTATGCCATTGTAATGGGTATTATTAAGTGCGAAAAAGATTTTGCCGGATTTTTATTTTTTCTAGTTTGTTTAAGATCGAAAACAAACTAGAAAAAGTAAGAATCACAGCAAGAACTTTTTCGCACTCATGATACCCATTTCGATTACATATATTATAGTTTTATCCAGTTTTACTCAGATTATTTAAAAGCAGGTCGATGAAGCTACTTAATCACCCTGTTGTAGGGTGATTAAGTAACTTTATCACCCTACAATGATACAAATTATAATCTTCACAGTATGAAATTTAAAATTTTAATAGCAGGGTGAAAAAGTTACATTTTCGCCCTGTTGTAGGGCGATAAAGTCATTTAATCATCCTAAAACGGGAAATATTAGGTGTGATTTCCATCAAAATTGAATAAAAGTCTTTAAAAGTGTGTTTTCTTCCTTAAAGGAAATGTCGTTGTAATTTTAGCTGACTCTCCGTTTTAAGAGAGCATACCCGATTTACAAAGGGAATTTTAAGTAGCCAACCATTAACAGAGGGGTATGGGGCATGCGCCATTCCCAATACAAAACGGAACCATTTACATTTTTTAAGCAAACAAAGAAGATATCTTGGTTTAAAAAAAAATCGATTAAATTCAATTGGAGGGTTTCGTAAAAATGCAGCAGGGGAAAAGTAGGATATTAATCGACTTCAGCCTGCTTTAAGGAAGAAATTGGAGACTCAATTTGTCTTTTCCTTTAATAGCCTATAATAGAGAGCCTTTAACCCTATTCCGGCTGGGAGATAACTGTATTAAATAAAAAGAATTTAGTATTTGCCCAAGCTCAAATTTTCTTTTTGCTATATCTTTGTAACCTGATAGTAGTGTAAGTCCTTCATGTGCAAACTTAGATTATTTGATTTAACATAACTCACCGGGTTGCAAAGACATAAGTATAAGAAATAAGGGTTTTTCAGGCAAAAGGTCAATTAACTCTAAGAAATTGCGATACAACTTTATGTACATAAACCTTAATATTTTTTTTAACTGTCACCTTTTTTACTTGCACATCCAATGTGTTCATTGCTTGATGTTTTGGACTCCTATTATGCAGGTTCAGATAGATTTCATTCATATTGTGTTCTTGTTTTCACACAATGTTAGGTATTCTTAACTCAGTGTTTATCTATTTTAACTTAGTTTTTAGATACACATTCTTCACTGTTAGCCTGTGAACTTAATGTTCGCTAAATTTAAAACAATGTTAGATGATTTGTAGATTTCAAATAACTTTTAGTAGATTTACACTAATAATCTGTTTATATGTTAGATTTTGTCATTTTTCTCAGAACGTTCGTGCATTAAGGGTCTGTTTGATAGATCTAAATACTTCTTATGCATGATTTATGCATAGCTGTTGGCATGTTGACATCTGGAACTGGTAGGAATTAATTCCTGTATTTAGAATCTGATTTATGGTTTGATTATCTTGAGATTAATACACCATTCCTATGCAGTGTACACAATCAATTAATAACTTGAAAAAAATTAAAATGGAAATTTATAAAATTCATTCAATGAAAACCAGAAAAATGTGAAATGTGAATATTATTATTAAAATATTTTAAATGATTGACTTGTGTTCCTAGATTGGCCCATTTTTATCTGAAAAATGTTTTAAAATAAATTATAAAATGTATAATTTTAAGAAATACAAACATTAAAAGGGACACCAACAAAAAATGCTAAATTGGTATCATTGTATATAAGATACGCTTAGGATATATCAAAATAAACTCTAAACATCATAAACTTATTATAAGCCACCAAAAATATAAATAATCTATATATTAAAGCTCTTCGCTCATATATATATATATGTTAGTTATCTGGACAAAATGCTGGCAAAACTTGGCTGATTTTTTTTGAGAAAACCCATGGCTACCCTGTGGGTAACATAGGCTAAAAAAGTTTTTTTTTAAATGGCTTTTTTTTAAATGTGTGTTTAAAATTCCACGGGCAACGCCTGGCACTTCAGCTAATCTTTGATATTTATATATCCCTCTCACCCCCAAAAAATACAGGCATTTTAGTATTTAACAAAAAGTCTTCAAAATTAAAAAAAAGTTATTATGTTTTTTTGGAAGTAAGTCTACACTCTACAGGGTCCTTTTAACTTTAACAAAATAGTTTTGTACTTTCTTAAGCTTTCCAAGGTGTATAATATACATAAGGGTGGGATGTGGGGGTGTTAAAGAAACAGGTTTCTAAATAATTTATCTACAGAATGACAGAGTTTAAAGATATAGCGTTTAACGATAATAATCTCTGTTATTAAAACCGCCCTGATCCCAGGCGGACAACACCGTATTCGGAGATTATAATCCAATACATAGCTGTGAATCATCATCAATATACGAACAACAACAAAAACAAAAAATAATTCAAAAATTTCTTCATTAATATTGCATTCATATTTTATTCAACTACAAATAAACAATCACAATTTAATATGCAGTTTGGACCCGCCTAACCAGGGTAGGGTATTTTACTAGGTTCTTTGAATTGAATGAACCAGCTAAATATTGGACACCTGTTGTTTAAAGCATATCATCAAAAGACTGAAGAAGTACTGTCAAAGACCCTTCATTTAGGGAATGGCATGTCCGATTGACAACAATACCAATTAACCCTATCCCTGCTGGGGTACTTGAAAACCAGGATACGCTGGGGGGGGGGGGTCAATTTGATCCCCCCCTCTAAATCCCATGTTTTATGTCCAAATATGACAAATGATACATCATTAGAAAGCTCTTGTGCTCTACTTTTAGAATCTGCAAAAAAAATTGCAAATTTGCGAAAATTGAATTTTTTATCGCAAAATCCAGTTTTATAGTAAAAATGTTTGCAAAAAAAAATTTGTCCAAAAAATGAAAAATTATGCATTTTTGAAAAGCCCTTGACCATGCCATTTCAAATATGCAAAATTTTTTGCAAAATTTCAAATAACCTGATTTTTAATCAAGAAAAACTAAAAATGTGCAATTTTCCTTTGACAGGTTGTTTGCAAAAAATTTGCAATTTTTTTTCGCAAAACTTGTGCAATCCGTTTCCTAATGTCATAGGCTTTCCAAAAAGCTAAATTTTATCAAAATCTGACAAGTAAAAGTGGGTCAAAACAAAGATTTAGTTTGTTACAGGCAAAAGCAGTCATTCAGGCAGTGTGCCTGAGGACTCAGGCAGTTAGTATTAAAGCCCGGTTTTAGACCTAAAGGGAGGGCTTTGGGTATGTAAGAAAAGTCAGAAATTTCAGCAGCCTCAGACCAATACTTTTTGAGTTATGTAAAAAAAAACTACAGGGGGGGTCAAATTGACCCCCCCCCCCAGCAGGAATAGGGTTAAATCATTGTCTGATTGTCTTAAATAAGATATTCATGATATATGTTTACATTATTGATCACATAAAGGTTTAAAGGAGACAGTTGTGAATGCAGGATACAAATGTCTCAATGGAAGGTCACTTGAAATTACAATAACAGTCCCTTTAAGCCTCGTTTGCAGTTACAATGATGAAGTCATCTTCTTTTTTGTACTTCAAGTCAATTCAAAGTAGATATTAATAGAGGTTCAGTGTACTGCGTACAACAGGAAAGCTGGGAAAAACTGCACAATTTTAGAAAAATCGGGGTCGTTTGTGAACGTATTCTTAAAAACAAGTTATTTTTCCTGTGCATCCTTTGTTTTTTTATTTTTTGTTTACATTTTAGGGGAAACATATCTATCTATCTTTATTTAAGATCATTTAGTATTTAGTAATTGAAAACAAACCTTGCAGTATGTGTACTGTATGAACCCCACTTCCTCTTGAAATCGAGGTTTCGTGAGATGAGTTGGTTGAGTGTCTATCTTTGTCTATGGTTTAAATCTTTGTTACTTTAAAGTGTATTTTTTTTGGTTAGGTTTAAGCATTTGAAATGTTGATGATAAGAAAAACACCATTGTAAACAATTTTGGGTGTTTTGCTCACAAAAATTAAATAGCATGACTTTTAATTCTCACATGACAACATTAGAAATAACAAGTTTTACTATAAATATTTTACAATCGTTATCAGATAAACTCTAAAACCCATAAACGAACAGAAACATAAAAGTTTGATTAGCAACATCATTTAATAAAAAACTACAAAACTTCAAGACTTAAACAAAATTTAAAGAATTGTTTACTTAAAAATTGTTGACGTACATTACGCCATGCCTACCCAAAACTAGTATAATAGCATTTTCGGCTCTTAAAACTGAAAATCACCATTAAATTCTGATGATTCTCGACCCCCTTAAATTGCTAATATTTAATAATTTTGCAGTCTCTTTAGAACTTCCAAGGGAAAGGGGAGCCCCACCTTTTTATTGAATCATGCAAACCTTCCTGATATTACAAAATCTAGGATGTTTCTCGGCAATCTAAGATTGTCACTGATTTTCCTTTTGTTCCGGGGTCACTTTCATCCCAAATATTTAATCCACAAGGTTACCCATAAAGAATGAGACTTCTAAGACAACTGCGGAATTTCTTTATTTTTTCTTAAACATTGGATTTCCCGCATCTAATTTCCTTTTAAAATATTAAATAAATAATTAACAGATGGTAGAAGACCTCAGGTATTGAGTCTTTGCCACAAACTCAAATTTTCTTATTATTTTATCTTTTTAATCTGATAGACATTTGATATTTCAAACTTAGATTATTTGATTTTACAGAATTCATAGTTTAAAATATATATGGTCTACGACATTGGGTTGCAAAGGTAGAGGGATAAAATCCGATTTTTTGGCGTTCTTAGGTCGTCATTAATATATCGTATTTTGAGAGTAACACTGTATTTTGGGCAAATATGAACCTGTCCTATAGTGGCTTGAATCCGTGTGAGATAGGATTTCAATCTTCAATACAAGTTTGCCTTGGCTTGGCAAATATGTGAATTTGAAGGTCTGTATATGCACTTATTTAATTATACAGGGTTTAAATGGGTAATATAAGCTTTTTTTAACCAGTTTTATTTCTTTTTTAAACCTTTGAATGTCAGGGTTATCACGAGTTTTCTTGATAAAGTTTCAAATAGACTATAAGATATGCCCTTATTAGGAAGCAAAAATTAAAATATAAAGAAACAAATTAATTGAAATCAAAGATATAAATGTTGTAAAATACTATTCACCAAGAGTAATCAAAATATTTTTGGAAACTAATTTTTCGATTTTTTAATTTAAATTTTTGATTTACTAACAATTCAGTAATTTAAAAAAATCTTTCTCAAATGGATTTGAGCTTTATAGGACAGTTAGATAGTCTCAACGTTTTTACCCGTTAGCTAATATTTTTTTGTATTCAATTAGGTAATTTTTAATGTTTAAGAAAAAGACGTAAAAACATGATGGTTTTATTTATGCAGGCAGGACATACTTAGTCCTAGTTTTCATAAAAGGGTTGCATGAGCATATATGAGTTAGTAGTTGCTAGCCTCCTGGGAACCCAGCCTCGCCTGGAATCTGAATTTTCTCTAACAAATTAAACACCCTCAATTTAAAGTTAAACATTATGTTATTTGGGCTTTTTGTTGCTTTGGACATTTTGTAACATTGGACATTTTGAAATCTTGGGTGTTTTGTTATTGGACATTTTGTTTTGGGGCGTTTTGAATCCACTCCCAAGCAGAGATTATCTATTTTTTCTATAAACATTATTTAACCCCCCCCCCCTTTAAAATGCGTGACTTGTCTTTTTTATTTATATATCAAAGGACATATATAGGATTGAAATATCTAAAGAATTGAAAAACAATTAACGTCCTTCTTTTTCAACTGCATCTGGAGTAATCATCATGCAAGCATTCAACCAACCATACTGCATGCAAGCAGGATTAAAGGGACTGTGAAACTTCATTTAAAGATTTGCACGTCTAAATCATGATTTTACTCTTTAACTCTTGTCACACTCACATACTGCTGAAAATGGACCATCAGGTTTCAAGTCAAAACACCTGAACGTTGTCTTTGGAATATATTAATATGCAGTCTACTGAATTATAATCTCAACTTTCCGGAAATGCCAACCATGGAATTTTGAGCAAATTCATTTTTAAAATACTGCAGTAAGCAAGAGCATTTTCAGGTCTAAAAACAAACATATCTTAAGGTTTAAGACATGATTAAGCTGATTCTGTTTTTTTGCGATATTTTTAAACCGTTAATGGCAGGGTCCACATACTTTGTGAGTTGTCCTTTACAGTCTTAAGTAAGACATCTTTTAGCAAAAAATCAAAGCCATGACTATCATGTACTGCCTAATATATAGGGTTTTGAAGTGAAATCCTTAAAAATCACATCATAAAGACTTTTTTCAAGCCGTTTTTAGTCAGTCAGGCAGTTGACTTAGTGCTTTGATTTTTTTACAATATGTTTTATGACTGTTCATGAAAAGTTAAAAAATTTGAGGACATTGCCATCAACAGTTAAAAAAATATCGCAAAAAAAGAAAATTGAGATTATAACTCAGTAGACTGCATTCTAATATATTCTGAAGAAAAAGTTTAGATGTTTTGAAACCTGATGGTCCATTTTCAGCAGTTTACAGGGCAAAAATGCTGAGTTATCCTTGTTTTCTATCCAAAAATTTATTATTTTTGATCGCAGTTTCTCTGTAACTATGAATTGAATGTTTATGTACCAAAGAAAAAGTAGGATATTACGAGAATTTAAACCTTTTAAGAAAAACGACGATATTTTCCTCGATAAAAGTTAATTGAGTACCCTTGTGAATCGGGTAAACGACTTGCTAATTGTGGGGTCACATGATATTACGTTAACAGTCCCTTTAAAACGATTGTCAACAAACATAGTCTGTCTGAGAATTATATCTTGAGGTTTAGAGTGTAAAAAATCCACTGGTCTCCCAAGCTGCCAATGGTTCTTTTCTTCTACAGATAGGTCTGTTAGTATTATGTTGACACTACCTTTTAGGGTATAGTTGATAACTATGCGGAAATATATATAAAGGAATGCAAGTATATTTAAGCTAAAGCAATAAAGCCAAATACAGATTGTCACAAAAGTTTGGGTTTAAACTTAATTCTTTTCCTCGAGTCCTAACCAACAAAATATATTCTTTATTATGCATAATTGTTTTTGTTTAGAAAATTATAGTTTAATTAATTTATAAGTCAGTATATACAGACTGCCTGTAACAATGCAATTTAATCAGTCGTTTCTCTGTGAGATGTTCACTACTCGAGGGTCCGTCAGTAACTGAGTAGTGGTTATAGTGTAGTGTGGAGTAGAGCTACTAAAATACAAATTTTATCTACACAGCACACATATAGGTATTCACGGGCACTTAGCTTGGCACGCACTTTATAATAAAATATGCAGATTTATAGAAAGGTCTTAGTTTGTAACTTCCTTGTGGTTTCTAAACATATAATTTTTATATCTATACCTATATAAATATTAAGATAACAACAGATCTGAGTAAACATAAAAAAATTCAAAATGAAATCAAATCCAAGATTGAAAGTATGGGAATGAGATTAAAACCAGCAAAATGTAGATCATTTTCCATCAGATCAGGTGTACCTAGAAGAATAAACTTTACTATTGGTGAAACTGAAATTCCAAATATATTTCATGAAGAGCAGAAATTCCTTGACAAACTTCTATTTCCTATTGGTAAACTTAGTTATGCGTTCGATTACATCAAGAGTGAATTTGAAAAAAAACTAATAAACATTAATGCACTACTTATTCGAGATGAATATAAAGTCTGGATCTACAAACATTATTTCATTCCTTCTATTCGATTTCTGCTCACTGTTCATACCACAAAGTCATCTGAAGAAACTATGATACATTCACTGATAAATTTCTGAAAAAATGGACTGGATTACCACCCTGTGCAACAAATGCTGCTCTACACTTGAAACCTGGCCTAGACATCACTTCAATATCCACCCTGTACAAAACAACTATGACGCAAGCATACACTAGAATAAGAATACTGGGTGATGAAACAGTTAACTCTGCCTTACAATCTAAATTAGACCGGGGAAAAAATTGGCTCCGCAAAAATTCCATCACAGACTATGCAGAAAAAATGTTTCTACAAGCCACATTAGAGAACTCTGGTCAAGCAGAAATGCCTGAGTGGGATGACCAAGCTTTCAAACACCAATGCAATAAAAAAATGAAAACAACTGTCAGTGAAAAAGTATCTTTTGAAAACGAAAATTTCTGGAGAGAACATACAGAAACACTCATAAAACAAGGACATTTTCTCTGCCTGGCAATGCTTGAAAAATCTGACATGATCTGGAAATCTTACATGTTCAATCTGAAGAAAGGTTCACTGAAATTCCTACTCAACTCCTGTTTGGACACACTGCCAATACAAGCTAACCTTCTACAATGGGGAAAATCTGCATCAGATCTCTGTAAACTATGTTTACAGGCAAGCGCTGAATTGCAAGGAAGAAGACAAGAAACTACAAACCATTTTTTGAATGGCTACTAGGTTGCACTACACCAAAAAAGATTATCAAGTATATCACTGGATTAATTGATATTGACCGATTTTTGATGTATGCCGACATCCCGTCCCATACACTTCCAGGGGGAGGTACTGTTCCCCCCCCACCTCCTTGTGACCGCAGAGAAATCAGATCTAGTAATAATCGATAGAATGGAGGAAAAGATGGATATTTTGAGCTTACTGTCCCGTTGGAAACAAATATCAAAAATGCCAACGCTCAAAAGATGAACAAGTATGAACATTTTATCACAGATATAACAACTAGGGATGTGTCAATTCATCCTTTCGAAATCGGCTGAACAGGATATATCTCACCATCAAATAAAGCAAATCTAAAGAAACTCCATAAGTTCTGCAAACCCAGTGTTAGTTTCAAAGCAATGAGCGAATATCTATGAAGCCTTGCAGTGCTGTCATCATACCACATTTTTAGAAAACGAAAAGCACTAGACTGGGACCAAGAAACTCCATTTCTGAAAACCACCTCTGAATAACTAAACTATACGCTAAAAGTCTTGTATTGCACCTGTTTTTTTGGCAAACCCTGTCAATCATAAAATGCGATATCCAGAGAAAAGAGTATTAGTTTGTAAACTTTTATATTTTGCTTTTAACAAATATAAATGATGAATAAAAATATAAATATTAAGTTGTAATCTCTGTTTTTATGTCTGGGTGTTTGTCAGTTTGTTTGTCCGATCATAACTCCAATTTGCCTTTGGGGAACTCAGGTGACAGGTCACGTGAAGCTTGGTTTTGATATTCTAAGTTGAGTAGGTCAACTTTAATAGCGACAATTTAGATTCCCGATAAAATCGCGCGTTTAAGTGCGGGTAAACGGCAGGAGTAATTTTTAGTATGTATATAAAGTTGTAATCTCTGTTTGTCTGTCTTTTTCTGTTTGTTTGTCCGATCATAACTTATGAACCCTGGACCGATTTGCCTCAACGTTTTATTGGGAAACTTAGGACCACGGTTCTTAGCTTGGTTTTGAGATTCTAAGTTGAGTGGGCCCACTTTTGATTGATACTTTTGGATAGTGGTTTCTTTACAAAAATGACTTGCAGATTTCTGCAGCAAAGAAAAAGTTGACGATCAACAGAACTAAACAATTATTACGATAAAAAACAACAAAATCTGAAAATATGTTTATAGTTCCTTCAAGCTAATAGTACTCCTAGTTTAATGTATAAAAACATTATATATTTAAATGTCTTTGTTAAAGTAATTCTTGATTTAAATATTTTAAAGGTTTTAAACAATAGATACGTATGCTACATTCTCTGATTTAAATAATTAATTCATGAAGAGAGTTGACATTCATTAGTCCACACCTTACTTTCAGCTATATACATAATACACAAGGATCAGACTTCGGAGACGACTGTACAGAATTTACTCATGGACAGTTAATTTTTGGACAAAATTCTCCAATCTTTATCATTTTTTTTCACTTACTTTCAGATTTTGTTTGTTCATACAATTATTTTGATTTCAACCTTAGAGGTGTAAAAATAAAAATTATGAGTTTCCTACTGAATTAAAATAATTTTTTTATTTTTCAATATTTTAAAAATCATTTTTTGCTAGATATTTAACATTTTTTGTACGGTATCAAACATAATGCTAGTATACTTTATTTGAAACGAATTAATTTATCTTTTTATTGATTTAGTAGCATTGTGTACAACTTTACAAGGTTTGCACGTTATGTACTCAACTTGATAATATGCCTTGATAACATGTACATAATGGTGTTGTACTGTACTGCATTGTATACAAGACTGAAGAAAAAGATTCGGCCGGAGTTGTGAATCTAAAAGCCCGATTCAGTTTTGATCTTGACTTAATCCCAGCAGATGTTCAAATCAAAATCCTAGAACCAGGACTAGGATATTGTTCGTTAAGGAACGTTAAGTTTTTTAAAATTAACAAAGGTTTCTATTAACAAATCTCAAAATCCGTTTTGAAATCGTTAATGAACGTGAATATCCGTTCACAAAGAAAAAGAACGTAAAATAAAAAAGAACGAACAGATGTGTTTCAAAATAAAAAACAATTCTGCTTAAAATTGCATAATCTTACAGACAATAAAATATAAATTTCCATTTAACGTGTTTAATTTTTTAAATATCTTCCGTTAACGTCATTAATAAGATTAAGATCGTTAACGAACGGAAGAATGGAAAATGCCTTTACCTGAACGAGACGTTCAATTCTTTCATCTTTGCTAAAAACAAACGGATTTATTGAAAGGTTGGTCTTTTGAACGATTTTAGTTAATGAACAGGTTGAATAAAAAGCTGAACATCCCTAGCCCTACTGTCCTACATAGAACCGGTTTAAAACTGAATAGACCTTTAAAACTCGCATACACTGGATGAAGAGTAGTAGTTTTATTGTAAAATTTGCAAAATGGGTTGCAAACAAAGTAAATGACAATACAGAAAAAAAGTGACTGATGCAAAATATCTAGGCCATTTTGATACAAATTACTAATTGCATAACGATTTTAATTTGGCACTACTGTTACACTAAGTATTGAGTATATACAAATATGCAATGCTATGTATAGGGTGAAGGTTAATTAACGTTTTTTCAACGTTTTGCAAACAGTAAAAGCATTCAATTCTGGGGGGTTCGGTTTCTTTAAAGTTCTTTCATTAAGCAATAAATGAAAAATTTAAAAAATCAATGAAACGGTTAAAAAAAGTTATTTGAAAAATTCTCGCTTTAACAGAATTTTTTTCTCGTAAAGGCTTAAACGTAAACTAGTCGTACTGCTGTCAGGTACACCATCGTGGGAATAGTCTAAGAACACGTGTTCCGCAGATGAAGTCACGTGTTCCGCAGGTGAAGTCACATGTTCCGCAGGTGAAGTCACGTGTTCAGCAGGCGAAGTCACTTGTTCCGCAGGTGAAGTCACGTGTTTCGGAGGCAAATTCACGTGTTCCGAGTTCCCCGGAAGTCAGAAGTTAGTTTCCTTTGTAGTTAGGGAGGGGAGGAACTCTTCATCTTGGGCCCCCGCATTCCCCACTCTTAAACACACACAAATTAGATATAATAGACATAGACAGAGTCAAAGACAAAGTCAAAGACAAAGTCAAAGACAAAGTCAAAGACAAAGTCAAAGACAAAGTTAAAGACAAAGTCAAAGACAAAGTCAAAGACAAAGTCAAAGACAAAGTCAAAGACAAAGTCAAAGACAAAGTCAAAGACAAAGTCAAAGACAAAGTCAAAGACAAATCTACCTGGTAAAGAGTTCATCTCTCTTTCTTCTCCTGTTGATTTGAGCAACGTATGCACAGGCCAGAACAACTGTGATTAGCTCAACAATAGCAAGGACAACTCCAACACAGGAATAAACTAGACATTTCAAGTATTTTAAATAGTTTAAGATAGTCACTATTCACAAAGTAAAGATCATACAGTGGGCCCAATAAAGCTGTGGAATGGGAGGAAGACTGTATAGACTCAATTTATAATTTTGAATAGTCATTGAAATATTAACACAGCCATTGTGCAGTGTACAATCAAGGATTTTACTTAATAAGTTAATTTCAAACTATTGCTTAAATGTCGTCTTGCTATTTCACATTTTTTAAGGTCCAAGCTATCTTACATTTAATGTTTTTGGTTTCTTATTTTAAATCTTTTCCTGATTGGCCATCAAACTTTTGTAATTTTGACCATTTAATGATTTTTCAATAAAAATTTAGAAGAAGATACATCTTTTGACGTTACACAAAGTAATTTTTAATCAAATTATCACCTATCATCATAGGCTCTACATCAGTTTTGAGTTTTTGGGTGAGAATTGCCACACATCCATCCTTGTAGATTCCTAGCGATATCTGGGACGGACTCGCTCTAAACAATCAGAAGTCAGTACTTTTGGATTGTAAACTGTTTAAAACACGCTCAGTCGGGTTTCCTTCTTCAAGTATCTTTACTAATCTTTAATCCAAATTCAGCTTGCATGAGCAATAGTTAGTCTTATGTATATAGGGTTGTTAATCGTTTTTAAAAACTATCGAAAAACGATCACTTTTCGTTTTGTTTTTAGTTTTTTTTCGATTATATGGGTTTTTCGATTTAAGGTCAATTTGTTTTACAGTGAAATAGTTTTACCCCATAAAAGCTGGGGAGGGGGGGGGGGTCTGAATCTTTGTATAACTATTGTTAACGAAGGATCGTTAACGGTGGCTAAAGATTGTCAACAATTAGAAACGACCTACCTTCGTTAACGAAACAACGAACTAAAACTATAAAACAACTTCTTCGTTTTTAATTTAAAAAACATTTTTTAAATAACGACAATTTTTGAAACGACCGTTTCGTTTTTTGTCCTTAACACATAGGGTTTAAGAATATCTTGATATTCAGCCCACATATTTCCCAGTTTTCAAGTTTGCTAAAAATGAAATGATTTATAAAAAAACTTACTTCGCAATTTGATCTCCACATCCTTCTCTCATTTCATGACAGCAGGAGTCTGGGACACTTTTCTTCTGGATTCCTGATTTTACATTCAATAGTTTTACTTTGTTTCAGATAAAATACAGGGGGACCCACTAAGCAGGAGACTTTTGATACGGCAGCTGAAAGTTCTACAAGTATTCTGCCTTGTATATAGTTTTTTATTGGCTTATTAAATGTATTGGCTTATTAAATGTATTGGCTTATTAAATGTATTGGCTTATTTAAAGTATTGGCTTATTAAATGTATTGGTTTATTAAATGTATTGGCTTATTACAAGTATAAATTCCATACAGTCGTCTCTGAAGTCTCATTCTTTGTGGGTAACCCTGTAGCCCAAAGTTTAATCTAATGATTACTGGAATTTCCTTTTTAAATATAAAAACAAAAAACACTATTCTCAGAACAATATAATTGTTATGTTCAGTCATAGTTCTGACGATGATCTGTTAATCATTTTATAAGTAGGATTTTGTTAACCAAAACAAATGATCTTGCTCGGCTGCAAGGTCGTCTTTGACCAAGATTTTTTCCGGTGCCAAACCAAACAATTTTACACAATTTTTAAAATTTTTTTAGAAGGATGATTACCAATGGTAGCTGATCTCCAATCCTGATATCCAGTATCAAACTTGTCACCTCCGCAACACCTGGATAGATAGGTATGATAGATAGATGGAAAGATAAATAGATAGATAGACAGATAGATAGATAGAGAGATACATAGATGGAAAGATAAATAGATAGATAACATATATATTGCAGCGGAGCCAATGTCGTCTTCCTCGACAATAAAGAAATCCACCAACACGATGTTAGAAAATCCTCGAGTCATTGTTCCGAAGACGAGAATAGAACTGCTTATCCTCTTCAAATATGTTTATCTCTACTTAAAATGACTTGTCGGTGATGCAATTTCACATTTTTAAGGAACCACTGTTTTGAAATCTACCAACCTGAGATCTTTCTGCATTTCATCCCAGCTAGCTGTTTTTGCCTCATAACCTACTTCACCATAGTGTTGCATATCTTCAAGTATAGCGCTGGGATCAATAACCTAAAAATATTCTTTCATAGTCCAAAAAAAAAAGCTAATAATATTAATAATGATAATGCTAACAGCAATAATAATAATAATGATTCTAATGATAATGAAAATAAGAATAAAAATTATTGTATTCCTACCTCGTTATTGATAAGGTTCCTTACTTCCATGGCGCTGAAAACGGAGCATACTTGAGCTAGGAACGCTATTCCCAGGAATACTGCTATCATGGATATCAGGCATCTAGAACAAAAACAAATGAAAGAACTGATAAAACTCTCATCGTAGTTATATATAAATCCTTATATATTTGCAACCGTATTTTGTAGACGTATACAGGGTTACCCACAAAAGATGAGACTTCAGAGACGATTTTTTCTCTGCTTATTCATTTAATAAACCATAAAATACTCAATTGAATACAGAAACCAAAAATCAAGCTTTAAATCGTCATATTTATAGAGTTTTGTGTCGTCTTTATAGTCTCATCTTTTGTGGGTAACCCTGTATTATGCATTGATATTCAAGCTATGAAATAGATTAAATAGTATATGTTGGAAGTAAAAATGGTTTACACCATCAGGTTGAAAACGTATATGGATAAGAAAATTAGAGTACATTTTTCATCAGGATATTACAATTTTCTGTATACAATCCTGACTAAAATTTCTTCGATTTTAGTAAATAACAATTACTAATTGTTTTCGTGCTGATCACTCTTTTTTTAGTATTTGAGCACCAAAAAGTAAAAATCAAAAACTATTTCATTCGAAATCTTAATTTTAATTCATTTATTCTATAGATTTTTTGTAAACATTTTCCCCCACATCATCGTAATTTTCCCCACATCATCGTAATTTACCCCACATCGTAATTTTCCCCTACATCATCGCACTTTCCCCCACATCATCGTATTTTCCCCCGCATCATCGTAATTTTCCCCCACATCATCGTAATTTTCCCCCACATCATCGTAATTTCCCCCACATCATCGTAATTTCCCCCACATCATCGTAATTTCCCCCTCATCATCGTAATTTACCCCACATCGTAATTTTCCCCTACATCATCGCACTTTCCCCCACATCATCGTATTTTCCCCCACATCATCGTAATTTTCCCCGACATCATCCTAATTTTCCCCACATCATCGTAATTTCCCCCATATCATCGTAATTTCCCCCACATCATTGTAATTTCCCCCATATCATCGTAATTTGTCTTCAAAACAGATCATGGCTTCATATTAATCTTTCTGATACAGTTTAACGTCCCGGTACTTCAGAAACATCAGAAGAATTTATAAAATGTCGTCTTGACAATTTTTCAATGGGTTTACACTAACGTATTCCTTAATCTCAGTAACTGTAAAAATAAATAAATAGCCACGAATATGTGGAAACAGTTTTAAAGAGCTCCAAAAAATTATACAATTAAAAACTAAATATCTGTAGCATAATTCCATTATCAGTAAGTTAAGAATACAACATTTTTTAAATTCTTTAGATGACTCCGGAATTCTTGGGTAAACTGTAGTCTAGTATGCACACACCTGTTTTCTTGGTTTGAGATGAGGAATCCATAAACTGATACAGCGAAGGTGTAGAGGCCCAGAGATATCATTAAAATTGGGTTGACGTAAAACCAATAGGACCAGAAGTTTAACTAAACATAGAAACATAAACATGGCAGAAGACGACATTTGAAACATGTATTTATTCTCTTCGGGTTGATACAGAGTTACTCGGACTAAGAGACCTCAAAAGACGACAGTGAGGAATTCATACAACTGATTCCTAATAATTACTATTCTACAATTGTTTCTATCTTTGCAAAGTGAGCCATTGAATAAACTATATAATTAAACGGGCAGACGTAGGACATTTGAATTTCCGAGCCGGGTCAACCTTTCCGGTCCCTGTTTGTACTGTATCGCCCGGAAATTGGGTAAATAAATCAGACACTCAATAGGACTAGCCGAACTAGCCAGTGCAACAAGGTTGACGCTGTCAGATTTTAGGTTGAATTTACTTTAACTATAGGGTCAGGGGTGCGTAAGATTAAGTTCAATGGATCATCAATTTTAAAAGTTTCAGGCCGGTCGTCTTTATACTATCATTCTTTGTTGGTAGCCCTGCATACTCTACAATTGACATAAACTACTGACGGAGTCAAACATTATAGAAACTGAACGTAAATAAACCGCTAGGTATATAGCAACAAGGTTTATTTTGCAGGAGAATACTTTTCATATTTCAGAGAAATTAAATAATCATTGTAGAGTAAATATAATTTTCATAAAATCCATTTATTCAAATGGTAAAACGGAATTTTATGAAATCATATTATAGCATTACCGGAGAACTTTTTTTAGTATTTTTGAGATTTTTTTTTTTGTAAAAATAAAACAGATACAGTGAAACCCTTAATAACGAATACATCGAAAGTATTCATCAAATGTCGTATTCTTCACTTTCTGATAATGGAATGTTGCAGATATTTAGTTTTTTAATTAAATGATTATATGGAACTCATTAAAACTGTTACCGCATATTAATAGCTATTTATTTATTTTCGCAAATACTGAAATTTATGTAATACAGTATAAAATTCATTGAAAAATTGTCAAGACGACATTTGATAAATTCTTCCGATGTATTCGTTATTAAGGGTTTCACTGTATCATTTTCATAAAACTGTTCTTTTTTTAAAAGTAACACGCAATTTTATGTAACCATGTAAGCTTCAATAATGATGCCAGTACAAAAAATCTGGGGGGACCTTAAACACAAAAGAGAGCAGTACAAATGTATATAATAAAATAGGTAGTAGTATAGTCTAGGGTATGTAAAAACAAAAATAATGATAATGATAATTATAAGCTAAAATGTTTTACAAAAAAGTTTAATTTCTCTATAATATAAAAAAATATTCTCCCGCAAAATACGCCTTGTTGTTGTACCTAGCTGTTTCTATACTTTAGGTTTCTATAATGTTTGACTTCCTACTGACTAAGATAAAAAAAATAGGATTGTCTGTCTTTTATAAATTTTCTATTTTGAACATTATTAAACTACCACAGTGTTTTATCCCCAAAACTTTCTATGTACTTTAATGGCAGACTATGATATTTTAAGTTTTATAATTGGTATTAATGAAAAAAAATTTTTTTTTAGCTCGATCATAAAACGTGGATTTATCTTGTGTTTAGTTTCTATTTAATGATTGTCCTTGTAGCATGTTTGGTCATACAGAGTGTCCCGAAAACCATTAGAATTAAAATACGACTTCAATATCGTTCTTGATTTCCGATACATTTAAGTGTACTTACGTCATCTGTGGTCTCCTTTGTATCTTTAAAACAATGACGGAAAATTTTAACAATTATGCTGTGGAAAAAATTTGAACCAGGAGATGGAAACTTTAGAATGGATAACCTTTATCCCGATCTGTCAATTAATCTGGAGATTAAATTCATGAGGACAACATACTATATTTAATCTGGAGATTAAGAAAAAGAGTGGATCAAGCATTAATACCGATATCCATCATTCTAAAGTTCCCAGCTCAGGAGATGGAAACTTTAGAATGGATAACCTTTAATCCCGACTGCTTAATCCGAATATCCACTGTGGAAACTTTTAATTTTATTCCTCAATCCACTCTTTTTCTCTCTCCTTGGATATCCGTTAATTGTTTTCTCCAATGAGAATATTTCTGTTCTATCATTGGTTGCCCGCTTTTCTCTGATTGGCTGCTACAGTTTCTCAGATGATCAAATATTAATTTGAATTTTATCGTTTTTCATACACTTTTAAGATAATCTTGCAAGATTATGTTAATCTGGAGATTAAGAAAAAGAGTGGATTAAGCCTTAATCCCGATATCCACCATTCAAAAGTTCCCAGCTCCGGAGATGGAAACTTTAGAATGGATAACCTTTAATCTTTAATCCTTTAATGGATAATCTTTATCCGAATATCCACTGTGGAAACTTTTAACTTTAGTCCTTAATCCACTCTTTTTCTCTCCCCTTGGATATCCGTACATTGTTTTCTACAATTAGAGTGCAGGAATATAGTTCGTAAATTATATAGACCATTGACAGCCTTGAAAATAAATTCTATCCAATAAGAGATCTCCGCACTTTTTAACAAATAAAGAATTTATTGTCAGCCATTTTGTAAACGAAAAATATTTAATAATACGTTTGAGATTCTTTTTTCACTAATTCAAATTAATGTATTAATAAATAAATGTGTAAAAAATTAAGTGAAGGCCCTTCCAGTCAAGAAAACGAACAAATCTGACGTTCCTTGAATCAAATTCGTTGACCTAAATAATTAATCTCGAGACTATGTTAGTCTAGAGATTAGCAAAAAGAGAGGATTAAGCCTTAATCCTGATATCCCCACCATTCTAAAGTTCCCAGCTCAGTACATATTTCTCAATATTTGGAAACATTTAGTCTTTGGTGTTAATTTTTTTTAACCTGAGCTGGGAACTTTAGAATGGTGGATATTGGGATTTATGCTTGATCCACACTTTTTCTTAATTTCCAGATTAAATAATGCTTGTTCTCCTCTTGATATTAATCTCCAGATTAATTAACTGATCGGGGTTAAGGATATCCCATTCTAAAGTTTTCAGCTCTGGATACCACATATAATGTTCACGAAATAATGTTTTTGGGACACCCAGTATATTCAATTTTTTAAATACCAAATACAATAATAGAAATATTATCGTAAAATTAACTTCAAAGTAGAATATATTTGAGCAAAAGATTTTTTGAATAAAATAAACTGCTAACAGCCTTTAATATATAATACAGTATTTGGAAGAAGACATTCAAAACTATTTACCAACTGTCATGTTTCGTGGGACACCCTGTATTTCTTCTGCAATTTTTAGTCTTAATTTAAAGTGCACATTAGTATATATTCATAGAGTGCACTTAACGAATTTAACGATTTAACAATTTCAGCAGACTTAACTGTTCCAAAATTTATGGATATATAAAATTTAAATTCTTAGAAAGCCATAAACTTATAAAAACTCTAAATTGAGTCAAAGGTTTCATAATTAATCCTTGTGTAACAAAGAATGACACCTTAACAATAAGAATTAAGCTTTATGTAATACAAGAAAAAAAAAACAATAATACACAGTTAATCTGTTTAAACAGTTAACATTGGAATTTTATTGTCTTACAAATTTGAAAATTTGGTCTGCTAGTGTCGCGATGTTATTTCAAAATTTTCAAATATATCCAAATGTTTGTCCAGTTTTCAATTTATCAAAAAGTCTAAAATTGTCTAAGTACGTCAATTGTTAATGTTTTCAAATTGCTGATTTTCTGATACGTTACCTTCGTAATATGGTAGAATTTGATTAGAATAATTGCAGAGAATACTAGAATAGTAGAGGTGATCAGTAAAAACACGTTACTCAAATTCAAAAATCTAAATAAAAATGCATAAGATAATTTTGAATAATTATTTAAATTTTGTTTTGTAAATGTTTACTTTTTATGCATACTCCTTCTTAAATAATAATAATATTTGCTGCATCACCCTCCCCCCACTCTTCTGCACTATGATATTTGGAGCCCCTAGCATCCACCTCCCCCTTCCTCTAATTCCCTCTGATATTTGGAGCCCCTAGCATCCACCCCCCCTTCCCCTAATTACCTCTGAGATTTGGTGCCCCTGGCCCCGATCCCTTTCTTACCTCCTCCTTTTTCCTTTGATATTATGTTCCCCTA